CTCGGCTACTTCTCCTGCCACTCGCACACCGTCATGCAGGGCTACGCTTATTTCTTCTTCCTCCGGTGAGTCCCGGGAGAAGGGGGGTCCCCGGGATGGGGAGGGTCGGTATCCCGGCTCCGGGGCAGCTCCGCGGGCCGGGGGATGCGCGCCCGCTCCTGCCCGGGAGCGTTGGCTCCATCCACCCACAAATTCATCGGGGGGAAAAAAAAAACTCACCCCAAGCCCATAATATTCCAGCACTGCCGGGCGGCTGTACGGGGAGCTGCTGTTGAGTACCTCCTGGGTGCTGCTTTTGTTTTTACGGCGGGACGGTCACGGTGCTGGAGAGGGGCCAGCGCCCGTTCGACGAAATTTGGCATGGGAGCTTAAAAACCATCCCCAAATACTCACCCGATAGCTTTCTCTCGGCTCGCCTGAGTCCCAGGCAAATCATGACTTTGGGCTCATTGAAAGAATAAGAAAATAAACCACAATGTGGGAACAGAGCCATCGCCATGACCTTTCAATCCAAGAGCATTTGCAAAATACTACTCACTGGCTTGTTTGGAAATACTTGGTATATTCTTGCACTGGGTGTGTAACGAAACACAGTTTGATGCTGTCTAGTGCTTAGTCTGTAGCAATATCTTTAAACACGTTTTACGCAAGTTATTTATTGACTGTTTGAAGAAGTACTTAAACTCCAGGGTCAAGGGCAAAGAGATGCAAATTCAGTAGGAACCGTGGGCCAAAATACAGATTTGCCTCATTCCTGGGGGTTCATTGATGCCTGCAGGGTGGCAGGAGCCTGTTAGGTCCTTACTGCTGCCACCTGGCCCAGTCCTCCGTGGTGGAAATTGCCATCTTGGCAGCTAAGTTGCAGGAGAGCCAAGAGCCGCGTGCCGGCTAAAAGTCTGTCTGTGCGACTTTGGTGGCACTTGTTGAGCCAGGCTGAAGTCTGATGGGTGGCTTCTGCGGGAGAGAAGGCAGCGTTCAGCCTCACAGCGGGCTGCCCGTGCAATTTGTGTTTCAGAATGGATGAGAACTACATCCTCCTGCCGCACGGAGTCAACTTCCAGGAGGCGATTTTCCCGGACACCCAGGAGAACAGAAGGATGTTTGCCAGCCTTTTCCAGTTTTCTAACTGCTCGCAGGCGCAGCATGTGTTGAGCTTCTCCAGTGACTGGGAGATTCAAGAGGACAACCGGGTAAGGGATTTATTTGCTCTCCAGTGCTTGTTTTCTAAGCGGGCACAGGCGTTCCCACATCATTTGCAAACATCTATATATGAGTGCAGAGCAGCAGGTCCCTGATTTTCCTGGTCCTTTGGTGGTATCACTGGCAAAGTAGCACACTGGTGGGGAGATGTTAAACTCTGTTGCCAAAGCTGGCCTCTGCGTTAGCTCTTTAGCTTCCCGTGGACCTGAGCAAACCTTGGTATCAACCTGTTCATGAGCAATAGGTTGGAAACCACTATTGCTTGCGATCCTGTCCTACTCCACCCAGGTCGTTCCTGGGTTTGCTGTCTCTAGACCCCATACTTCAGCTGAAGTGTTCAGGGGCAGAGCTTTGCTTTTTTACTTCTGTGTTCAGCTCATGTAGCGAGAACAGTGCCTGGACCACGACAGCCTGTAAGGGATTATTCTTGCCCAACTCCACACAACAGCATAAACATCTACTTCTGAACTGATCACCCTGAGCTGTCTGTGTAGCAGCAGGGGAAAAATAGACTCTTGAGGGCACGGTTCGTCTGAGCGATGAGGGCACCTACTTCTGAACAAGCTGAATGAAATGCCTCTGTCTCCTCTCAAGCGAGGCCACAGCAAGTAGTTCACCTGCTAGGCAATCCTCCCTTAAGAAAGTACATTTTTAGTATGGAAAGTCCAACGATGCCCATTGTTAGTGGCTTCTGAGCCCCTTTATGGGGCTGTAGTGTGTGTAATAAATGCAGGATTTTAATAAATACTTCCTTGGCAGCGAGGAGCAACCTGCAGTTATGTGTATGCATGTTTTGGATGTGCGTATACATTTGCGAAAGTGGAACTTGGAGAGCTGTTTTAGTGCCAACCCTTGTTTTATGAGGCTAGTGGTTTCCACTGGTAGCCGAGAACGTTTTAAGTGTCTCTTTAGGTCAGGATGGACAGGACACGTGTCATCACTTGCGTCTTCTGTGGATTCATCCAAGGCACGATGTTTATGTACGGCAGCAGATGCACTAGTGGCTTGTTTGGGAGATGAATGGAAGGAGCTCGGTAGCTGGCCGAGCCCTTTCTCTTCACCAGCTGGCCGACTGCCAGCGTGCAAAGTTTGAGCTGCTGCGTGGCCGTCTGGCCAGTGACACAACCCCGCTCCTTGGGATGCCCCGTGAGCGAGCGTTTTCCCACTGATGATATTTTGGGGAGGGAGTGGAGAATGGTGATGTTCAAATGTATATTTGGGGATAGCAATGGGAATTGATATTTAAGAGAAAATTAATTATCTTACAATTAGATCGCAGAGCCGTAGCCCTGGCTGGGCAAGAAGGGGGAGGCGTAGAGCCCTGCTCCCAGCCCTGCCTCCTCCGCGCCAGCCCACAGGCTCCCCAGCGCCCCAAGCAACGTATTTGGCAAGTAAAGGGACTGCCGCTGCCAAATCCACAGATTTTGCTCTGGGGGAGCGAAGTGGCATTGGGGAACCACCAGATCCAGCTCCCAGTGTCTGCTTGTGATGCCTCTGCACTGTTAGTTTAGCTGCGCTGGGCTAAATGTAGGGGATCTTGATGGTGCTCGTTTATGCCAGCAGTGAATCTCACCGGTTAGTTCTAATGGAAATCACGAGGCAGAAACCCCCAAGGTAAGTTGGGGCAACTGAAAGCATATGTATCAAAAGTGCATTTCAGCTGTTGCGCTCTCTGACCCCACGCAGCTGTGAGCAGATTAGGGGGGGATTAGAGCTGCTGGTCGCACAGACCAGGGCTGGGGGCTTTACATACTTCAACACCCACCCGTCGAGTGAATAAATTCAGCACAACTGACGGACACTTTGTCTCCCCTTCGTAATGAAAAGTAAAAGCTTCCTCTGCACCAGTTAAAAATAGTTTGGGCTGACTGTGCTCCCATTCAGCTCCTGCATCTGTGTTTGCCCAGCCGAGCGCCGGCTCCCGGCGCCTGCGTGCCCCAGCCTGGGAAGGAGATGGTGTTTCTGGCTGCCATGGTATTAGGAATTTTTTTCCCAGCTCTTCCCAATGCAGGTGCCCATGTCCAGGCTGCAGCCCTCTTTAGTGTTTTGCTCCTCTCTTTGCCTTGTCACATCCGATGGTGACTTTTGCAATTGCCACTGTGCCTGCTCGCATCCCATCACAGTGTGAACAATTTTCATTTCCAAATGCGCTCAGTCGAGCTGCCCCATGCTGGCTCCTGAGCCAAAACCTGTGGCGTGTGCTGGCTTTGCGGCACGGAAAGTCAGCATTACTCAGAGCATTATTCTTGAAGCTTTTTGGAAAAGAGGCTCTTAGGGAGCCTGGGGACATCCGCAATGGTGTCAAGCTGTAAAGAACCTAGACAGAGAGAAAAGGGTCTTCTGATGAGGCTCACGTTGAGGGGTCTCACCAGCTGCTGCCTACTGACATAAATTGCTAGTTAAAATCCATCATGGATGTTTTGTGCAGTCAGAGGGAAGAGATGGAGATGCTGAGATCCTCAGAGCAGACGGCAGCTGGGGCGAAGGTCTGGTGCCAGGAGTTAGTAGCTGAGGTTCTGCCTCCGCGTCTTGGGACAGCTGTGTGCAGGGACATCTCAAAAAGCGGCTCTCTCAAAAAGCAGTGTGCCCAAGTAGGTTTGGAATAAAGGAGCAATGAAATCTCCTGTTTACAGCTGGATCCTGTACTCCAAAAGACTTTTTGAATCTCTGTATTTGCTTATGGCTCTGTGCTCTACTCTTGATATATTTCTGGGGTGGATGTTTTAAGGGAGAATTCGGCGCTGGAAATGTGCAGTTGCAATGAGTAATTAGTGTTTGTAGCTCTGGGGTGCTCAGCCAGAAGGTGACAGAGCTCTGTGATGAGGAAACGTCTTTTGCCCCATGTAATGCTGCTCCCAGCGAGAGGTCCCTTCTGTGGGGTGTGCCTGAGCTGGCCACAGAGCCGGGGACCTGAAGGTGACGGCTGGCATGCTGTCCTCCTGCTCATCCTCTTGGCTCTGCTGTCCTCCTGGCATGCAAGCAGCCTTCGTCTGGGCTGTCCCAATGGGTGAAATGAGGAAAACCCTGGCAGCTCCTTCTCCTCCTCACTGCAAATGTGTCTGATGATGCCAAAGAGAGCAAAGAGATGTGCAGGAACTTCTCGATGCACTGGGATGCACAGCCTGCCTTTTCTGTTGCGGGAAAAAACTTAATTTTCAGAGAGCCCCATGGTGCATGGTGAAAGAAGGCCAGACCCAAGGCACATCTCATTGGGGATAATACATTTCTCATCTTGGGCCTGCTGCTGTCGCTGGAAGCTAATTCCAGCTGTGTTTTTAAGCCCCTTGCCGTCTGGGCTGAGGGCCAGATGCTGCTTTTCATAGCTTCCAATAACCCCACAGCCTCATAAATTCACTCAGGTGCTTGTTCTGGCCACTCTGGAGAGCAACGGTAGCTCCGGCTGGCGTTTCTTTAGGCACTTGCATTTTGGCTTCCAGGTTCGCAGAGGCAATAATTAATTGGGCTCCATCCTGACTTTTCTCCCAGCCCCTTAGTGATGTTTGCAGACCTGCTTTATGCCAGCTTGCTGTCGCGGTGGTTTCTGCAAGGTTGTTGCTAAAACCCCGAGTTCCCACCACGCTTGGGGTTGGAGCTGGGTCTGTAACAAGTGGCTGCAACTTCTTGCAGAGCAAGGGGCCCCTTCTTGCAGCATGTTGCAGGTACCTGGGTCCCAGGCTTGGCCCAGCCCCAGAGCTGATGTTGGTGGAGATAATAACACAGGAACGCTCCTTTTTCCACTTTGGAGTTACAGTTTTAGTCAATTCTTCCCACCCTCTGCCCCTGGGAGAAATGCAGTATTTGCCTATCTTGCAGTCACAGCAGTTTCTTTTAATAAGGTGCTTTTATTAAAGAAAGAAACAATTAAGAAGTAAGAAAAACCTAATTAAAATCCTTAAAAGCTCCATGTTTTTACCCAAGTCTCATGTTGACTCCCTGAGGGAAGACCCGTACACGTATCAAAGAGTTTGCAAAGTGCCTCCTACGCAGGCATGCCAGGCTGTCCTGCATTGGCTGGCGTGCGGCCTCCGGGTCACCCCTGCCTCGGGCAATCACCCCAGACCCCTCTTTTCCTTTACCCTCTGCTTCCCTCAGTGCCCCTAAAATTGCTCACAGACGCCTGTGTGCCACCCAGTTATTCTCTGGTGCAGCTGGTGTTTCATTACTGATGCTTTTAGGGAGCAGCCTTGCAACCTTTTCTTGCTGAAAAGGAGTCTGAGGAGGTCAGACTTTTTTTTGAGAGATGGGGATGAGCATTCGGTGCTGCAGCCAGCATCCTCCTCCAGAGATGAAGAGGGCGACGGGAAAATCCTGGAGGCCCAGAGAGCATCCGTATGTGCTGGTGCCTATTTCTCACGACAAATTTTTCTTATGGCTACGTGCTAAATGACACTTTTCTACACTCAAGGGGTTGATTTCTGCATGCTGGGAGGTGGGAATCATCGCTGCGGTTTCCCCCCTCTCGCAGTGCCTGCTGCTAAGTCTGGGGGTGATGCAATGGGTTGGGATTGAAATCTTGCTCCCCTGTGGAGTTTTACCATTTTACTGCAAATCCAGAGGCTGTAATTTCTCCTCCTGACTTGGCCTTCTTCAGGGTGGTGTGATCTCCTAAACAAGAGCTTGTTGCCTTGTCTGCAGATGAGAGATTATGCTGAAGTGACTCCAGGTCTGGTGATAATAAGGTCTACAGAGGTGTCTAACAGCGATTGTTGTTATTTATTAATCAGAGGGGTTTTAACTCCTGGTTTTGTCAACAGGTTGGTAGGGAAATGTGGTCTTTTGGCCTCCATTCCAGCTTGCTGTGAGCTGCGGAGGTGCTCGCGACCTGGGCCTGCACGGTGCTTCTTTTACAGGGCACCTTCCTCCCCTTTTTTTAACGCAGGAGAGTTTCGAAACGACCCCGTGTGCATCATAACAAGGGAATTAACAGCAGCGTGTCAAACCGATCATGAGCAACTGTGGGAGCACCAGCACTGTGATAAAACACACGGTA